AAAAAAATATTAATAATAGCTAGAAATTAAAGTTAAAAGTTGAAAAATAGATTTGTATGAAAATATTTGAACTCATGACATAAGATACTTTTCAGAAAATTTTTATTTAATAATATAACAATAAAAGTCATCTGAAATGTAATAATTTAAATTTCATAGAAGAAAATATGATTATTAGTGTAAATTCTCTTTTTTTATTAATTTATTTTTTATAACAAAAAAATATTATTTTTTTTAGCTATGTTGTTTATTTCATAGAAAATTGTAAGCAATTAAAATCAATATCCCAAAAAACATTTAACATGTAAAAACTATCTTCTTGATAAAAAAAAATTAAAAAAAATATTTCCCTAATTAATATGTTTTTCCCTTATTAATATGTTTTTTTCTTACCAAATCTTGTTTCATTTAAAGTTTTTGTTATTTAAAAAATATCATAATTTTAAAAGCAAAGTATAATAAAATAAAGAATCAATAATTTTGACATGAATGGTATTAAAAGATATAAAAACAATAAACTTGAAAAAAATCAAATAAAAAAATTACAATAATGTTTTTTAAAAAAATAGATCATTTCATTCACATTTAAAAAAAATACATACTGAGTTCATTTATAATTATTCAGAAAGCAATGTTAATATTACTATAAAAGACACTAATATTTTCTAAAAATAATGGAATAATCTAATAATTATTTGAATAATTTATTTTTAAAAAATAATCTAATTATAAAATATGAAAAGATAAAAAAATTAAAAGACCAAACATATATAAGTTAAGTTTAGCTTACAAGTTTGGCCCACATAGAAATATCCGGCCTAAAAACTCAAGTTTATGCTTTAAAAAAAAATTCAAAAAAATATTACAAACCTACTATCGGTTCCCATGATTGAAGATGGCTATATATTAACTATAAAATCAAAATCTATGTTTCTAGATCTTAAAAATCCATATCCCAACTATTTTTCACCTAAAAAACATTAAAATAAAAAACATCGAACAAACTTCTATAATCTCGTTTCTAATTAACATCAAAAGTGTAAACGACCATAATTCTTTTCTCAAGATTTGAAGCCATAATAAACACCATATGTAATCGTGTGGAAAACAAAGATGATAGTGAATAGGATATTTGTTAATGTGTGACATGGATGATAATGTTAATAACATGACACCGGTGATTAAAGGATCATCATCTATACACAGTATAATCCATTCTTACATGTGCAATCATATGTAAGGTTAATGAACCATACAGCCCAGCACTTGCAGCTCCTCTTTTTGATCAAATACATATGCCCCCATTTGCTTAAAAATAACACAAAGATTTCTAAGATGAGCTATTTTCCAATCTTTTTTTCTTATTATTATTTAATCTATTTAACAGCACGTTTTGAATCCAATATGATGAAATTTTGGGCCCGGGTTTTTTTTTTTTTTTTTACGTCCATAATCTGCTCACATGGAAAGAAAAAAACACTATGAGCAACATGTCATCAATTTCTTGGCATCAACATCTCGAGATACATCATAGACTTCACGCAACTTCCTCAGGCCATGCTCTAGTTTTCAGAAAAGGGTAAAAATACTAGAACTGATACACTGTCAACATCACCATATCAAGTCTAAGATTTGATGCTGCCCCTTCGCTTGCATTATTATCGGTCAAGGGCTCAAATTTGGTCTTATATGGGCCTCTGTACGGGTAAAATCAGCCTCAAAACATCATGGTTTTTGATCAATTTTTCATTGATCCCAGGACTTGATGATTCCAGGTTTCGTTTTGAATTTGTGGCTGTGATTCTACTGATTCTTTACAGGTATTAATGCATAATATTCTTACTAGTTTTGCTAAGACACTTAAGTGCAATTATTTTTGTCCTGTTCTCTCCCGTCAAATTCAAGACAGATTCATGTGGAGCCTACTGCACAGATGACAGAATCCTTCTGGCATCCCTTCAGTTTCATGTCATCGCCAGTTCAGGCGGAAGCTTGTCAGGACAGCAGCAAATTAATACAAATAACAACTTGATATCTAGCGGTATTATAAGCAACGTAGTGGCACTTCGTAGAAAAACTAGTAGCATCAGCCTCCATCCATTCTGGTTTCTGTCAATTATATTTTTCAATTATCCTAAAGATAATCTCAGACTCGATGGTTTAGGGTTTCGTTTGGAATTTGCCACTGTGGTTTTATAAGGTATTAATGTATAATACTTCTATTATTTTTCCTTAAATTTGTTTCAACAGCAAGATCTATAAATTATTATTTTGTCTTAAATTTGTTTCAACAGCAAGATCTATAAACTATTATTTTGTTTTGTCATTTTGGACACAAACAATGACATGTGATTGATTACACATATGACAAAATCCTTTTGGCATCGCCTGAGGTTTCATGTGATCATGTCAGTGTTAAGTCATCATACTGCAGTGTTTTTTAAAATATTTTTAATTAAAATAATATTTTTTAATTTATCTTTTACTTTAATGCGCTAAAATCATCTATGTAAAAACCATAAAAATCAACAATTTATTATTAAAAAAAAACACTCTGAAAAATCAGGTTTCAATACAGAAACGAACCTGTTTCGAATTTTGTTTTACTTTAAACTGATTTTTTTCCCTACCAAAATAATATTATTTTTTAAATAAAGAAAAAGAGTCTTAAATTGCATTGACCCACCACCTGAGCTGGGTGGGAAAGAACTCAAGTCGATTTGTTTGTGTAGACATCAAATTTAATTAAGTTTTTTTCTTTTTGGAATTTTGAAGATAAAATTGCTGTTTTTACTCTCTGAGTAACCAGAGTCCATGGAATACTAGTGATTTGAATCCATATTATTACAACCCTATGCTAAGACACTTAAAACTAGCCCAATACCATGAATGTAGTAACATAGTAGGAGGAGATCTGTTTTGGAATTTGAAATAAATCCACCAAATTGGGTATGCTGAATGATCCTACCTGTTGCTCAAAGCATTTGCATATGGGTTCATAGCTGCTCTTCAGCCAGCGCAGCCTGGCTCAGACAGGGAGTCAGTTGGCTTGGTTCTGCTTTCTGCTTTCTGTTTCTTTAAACGTTGACGGATTAATCTTCCTCGTAGAAGCTTTTTCATTTCAAAAAAATCATCCACATATACATTAATGCAACACGAAGAAATTTCTTCTTCTTAGATTCGAACGCAAAGTGTTAGCAGCTATATGAGTTTACCATTGTGTTTCCAACGCATCGGTAAGTCAACAAATGAATCATGAGCTTCCGGACTTTCGCACAAACACGTGACTAAGTATCGTGATCTGAAGACATTTCGCTAGCATGGCATAGAAACAGAAGGAATGCATTTCATTCCCAGATGACTTTTAGCAATTTGTTTCAAGAATGATGCCTATATGAAGGGTATATCTCACTGAACTTGTTACAGAATCGACGTCTAACTGATTCCGTTGTCCCAAAAAATTGAAGCCTAGTTGCCTGAATGTTACACATTCTAGCGAGCCCTATATAGTTGACCGGGGAAGGGGAAAGAAACAAAAATGAGGGGGGGGGCTTGAACAGAAACAAATTGGTGGAACCAAATAACAACACATGAACATTCCTATAAATTATTTAATCAGTGTACATCGAGCATTTGTAATCATTTTCAGTGAGTGAATGATCTTCACCACTTGTTGAAACACCTAACAAGATGCAAAACGACCTAGGTGTCAAAGCAAGACTAGAGCAAGAAACACTGCTGATAATAGAAACTGGATTTTTGAAACTGGCAGGTTCACAGTCGCACTCCCTCCTTGAGGAGTCACGGGTCCAGGTGCCACAGTTGTTGTAAATCCTCCATTTGAGTTCGGTGTGATAGTTGAACTGTTTCAATGCAGAAATTAGGTGAATTACTATAAAAAGTTAAGTGCAGGATGGATCAACTACAAGCAGATTCAGATTCTCACCTCCCGGTAAATTTACAGGATCCATAACCTGCAAGAACAAACCATAAATAACTAAATTAGGAACAAAAGCAGTAAAAACTATTGATTTGCGGTAATGATTCCATCGCTTTCTTCCCTCTTGTTAGGAAAATGACAGAGTACAGGATGCAAAGAGAATAATATTCAAAGCCCATTTGGCGGGACCTCTATTTACCGCTAGGTACTGGCATTTCAGAGACTATCGGCTGGAACTAGCTTGCTTCATGAGTTCATGTTCAGTTATTTATGTCGTTACAATTAACATAATCCTTAGAACATCTAGAGCGGAGTGAATGTAAGGCACAGCAATGGATATCATGTAAAAAAATATTTGATGCATAGACTTTCAAACCACCTTTCATTAAACAAGAGCATGGTAAAATCCCACCATGCACGGAGAAATTCCCTGTTAAGGAAACCCAGCAGTTCTCAGCATGGAAGTAATAGACCAGAAAAATAAGAATAAAAAGAAAGTTCTATCAGAGCATTTTCCTTGGAACAATCAGTTTTGAGTCATCTGCAAAAACGCACTCAAGCTCACCAAATAAAGTAAAGAAATAACGGGGAAAATAATAGATGAACGTACTGGGATCAACCGTAGTCGTTGCAGCAGTACCATCAAAGTCGCATGTTGCACCAACAGAACGCTTTTTTTGATAATAGTCATTGTAAGCATAAGATGCATGGTTCTGGTAAGTATTAGGAAGATAGCATGGTTGCCCTTCTTGGATAGCATCGCAGTTAGCCCCTCCTTGCCCACATGCCCAGTCCAGCCCTGCTTGCAACTTACCAGGATCCGCATTTGGTTTCGCAACACAGAAATCAGAATTATTTCCAGTAACTTGATTCGAAGTGCTCAAACTAAAAGTATAAACAGCACTGCCATTGGTAAAAAATAAGCCCCAGTTTTTCTCAGACACGGGCCCAGGCCTCTTGTCTTCATTGAACAACTCATAAATGTATGTGTTGATGGGAACTTGAGGCTGACTAGGTGGCCCTGAATCATTTAGAACTCTCCGAATCAGATTACTATTGAAGGTCTCAGCATTTTCTGCAGTGGCATCAGGTTCATTGGCTCCACCAAGCCAAGGCCAGCCAGTTTCTGTAACTACAATTGAGATCCCAGACATATTCAGAGCTTCTATAGAATAATAGGTTGCATCAACCAAAGCATCAAACATGCTGTCATAGTGAAAAAGAGTGTTGGGGTCAACAATCTGTTTGACCGAGGGAAGTGAACGGAAGAGAGCATAATCAAGAGGGAAAATGCCATTTCCGGATGTGTATCCAAAATATGGATATGCGTTTAACATGTAGTACGAGTCTGTGTTTTTCAAGAACTGAAGAATTTGATAAACTGTAGCGCTCCATGAGGAATTAAAGGTGGCAGTTGAGGGGGGGAAAGGCCTTGGGATAATGTCCATGGCTTGAGGGGTTGAAATTTTGACCTGAAAATTTAGATTTGAAGCAACAAGGGCTTTGTGGAGGTAGTTCATGGCAGGAACCAAAACAGGGACAAGATTAGGGATTGAGGAAAGAACCTCACTGCCAACTGCAATGGCTGTAATGTTGGTTGAAGGCAAGTAAGCTGCAACATTTTGATTGATCCATGCTGCTGCTTTTGATGCAGATTCTCCAATTCCTAAGACCTCCTCATTTGGAACACCAACCATTACTTTAATCCCACTGTCTGCAAGGGCTTTCAACATGTGGGCATCAGCATCATAGAGGCGCAGATGAGTAATCTGATTGGCTTTGAGAATTGAAACCACATCTGGAGCCGATGGCATGTTTGAAACATCAGTTCCAAGATTTATTCCTACAAATGCACCTGCAAATTCAGGAATGTGATTTCAGTAACAGATGGTAAGAGCGGTGATCCTATTCTAGAAACATGAACTCTCACATCCAAATTTTCGTTTTGAAAATGAAAATTTTCAGAAACTTACAAGCGTTAGTTACTAAAGTTCCAGGGCCTCAAGATAAGGACTCAGCTTTTCTAGAGCAGATTGAGCTCCTTGTCTAATTAGCTTTATCTAATCCTGACTTTGCTCTTGATATGTACAAAGAGAGTAGCAAAAGGACCATAATAAGTTTACCAAGTACCTGATGCATAGCTGAAAATGCCAACAATAAACAAAAGAAGATTTCCAAGCACCATCCAATCCAAGAAAACTTCAATCCAGATGCTACTCTAATCTCTAGCTCTTAGTTTTAAACTGCCAAAGGCTCAGAAACACACAATAAAATGTAACAAGAAATCAATGGCCAGAAAGCACGGTCTAGCTGAAGCTGGCAGTACAAAGACAGAAACCTGTAAGGATTCCAAACATGGAGTTAGGAGTAATTAACCCGGAGATCATAAATCAATAGCCTCCGAAACTATGTAAAATGCCAGGCATCAAATGCCTCCAAAACTATGTAAAATGCCAGGTATCACATAGAAAGTCCAAAAAGAACTAGGAAGTACAGCAAAATAGGTTGCACAGGGAAATAAAAATATACATGAATCGAATCCATTTTTGCGAAAGGGGAAAGGGAGGAGTAAATAACACATATACATGTATTCATGTCCATGTATTCACATTGACCAGAAAATTATGATGTTCTCACCATCTGAGAATCCACCCACCTTCCTGCCCATCCAAAAGACCTTACAATCAAATTTGTAACAACCCCTCTTTAACAGAGAAAAAGTAATACTAAGCTGATGCATGGACACTGCCTTGAAATATGTGAGAATTTTCAATGCAGCCAATTTCGAGCAACCAAGCACATACTAGAGTGAGAATTTAGGGCACAATTAACTCCACAAGTCCATGCCTACATTAACTCTTTGGGAAAAAAGACAAACTTGGAGATAAATTTCAACTTCAAGAATCCATAGAACTCCACAAACAGCAAGCAAAAACCCAGAAAGCCTTGCATCTTAAAAAACCCAGATTCCAAAACCCTAAACAAGCACCCAGATGCCTAAATTGCAAAGAAAAACATCACATAGCAAAGAACCCAGATAAGAAAACCAAGAAAAGAGACTCAAAACAGTATCTGGTCTCAACAAAGCAGAAACGCTCCAAGAAACCAAACCAAACCCTGTATGCAACTTTCAAAGAGTTAACAAATTTTTATGTAGCCACAAAAGGCAACTACAATTCCTCCTAGTCAAAAAAACTAAACGTTGATCCTGTACAAAGAATCTGTTATTCAATCTACACAGATAAGAATAGCCCCACTAATGTAAAGGCATGATCTTTCTGTGGATAGAATCGAGGCAGAAGAACACAAACACAATTTTCTAGTCTTACAACACACTTATGTCTTAACATCAACTCTTTCATTAAATACATTAGGTGTACTTCCAAAACACACCCCACCCTACTAAACTAAATATAGAAAATGAGTTTAGATTTCATTAGAAGGTTACCAGATATGAAACAAACCTCTGATGGCAGGCTTTGACGTCACTGAGCTTGACCAATGTTAGATAGCCAACATGACCAAATCCAAAGACCCTGCAAATTTTTGCTGTCTGTTGTTTTGTCTTCTTTCCTTTAAGAATGTCCTTGTCTCGGGCAAATCATATGGATGTCAGGACTGTTTATTTTCAGCTCAAACTTAATGTAAGAAGAAATTAGAGTTACTGTATTAAATAACATGGCCTTTATGTGATTTTGTTTTCCCTCCAAAAGTCATTTTTATTAGCTTGAAAGGGATACGAATAGTCAAAAGGTTACGGTTTTGGCTGTGGAAAAGGAAGGTGATAAAAGCAGAGAAAAAGGAATTAAATTCAATTCCAGTGGCCATTAGTGAGTATGCTTGTCTTCAACACCAAATTCAGAATTTTTTTTGGGTCCAAATAGGAAAAAACAAATTCAGGCTATTCGAAATGGGATGTCAAGGCATATTCCCTTCTGTTAGCTTTGATAAGCAGCAAGAACAAAGAATATTCAGCTCATGCAGCCACATTAGAGACAATCTACATCCCAAGCTCAAAGAGGACCGAAATTGATGGGAGCGTCTAAGTGATGGCATAAAATCTCCGCAGAAGTTTTAATCTCGTCGGGTGGAGCCCTAAAAGAAGTGAAGAGCATGATTCTGTGACATCAAAATGTTTGATTGCAAATCCGATTAGATATGGGGCCAAACATTGCACAGAAAGAAAAGTTTGATGCTCTCGCTTAGTTGTAAAGTGAAATGCAGCGGGCACCAAACGCAAAAAGCACCTCCTTTTTAACACTTGTTGGTCCCCTGTAAACACCTCCTTTGCTAAAAAGACAGGGATTCAAAACAGCTCAGCTGTGCCGTTGCAGCATTTGCAGGAAACTAGACCATCACGAATCAAGGTGGAAATGCCTCCCAGCATTTTGCATCATTAAACATCCTCACGATAGTGGGCCCTCAAAAGCGAAAAACTAAATCAACGAATTTTTTGATGTTTTTGAATTCAAATTCTTCCACAAAACAGGATTAACTGCAATAACAATAAAGTATTGTACAAAGTTGAAACCAAACGCCAACAAAACCTAGATCAAATCCCATCTGATAGAACTGCACTCACATCAGTAAACATAATCCAAAAGACAAGCAGCGTTCCAAACATCTGTTTCCATACAGGTTTTAAGGACTAGGAGATCTTTCTCCATTTGCTTCCCTAGGATATTCATCATGATTTGGGCTATGGCTTCTGCTTCTTCTTGGGCTGCGGCTTCTGCTTCTAACTGGGCTCCGGCTCCTGCTCCTAACTGGGCTCCTGCTCTGACCCCTATTTGGAGTTCGGCTGAGGCTCCTTGATCTTGAATATGGCCTCTCTTGACTGTACCTCCCCTCCTGGGGTGAAACAGATCTGCTTCAAAGCAAAAGATCAGACATGAACATTTAAAGTGGGAGTAGTGGATTGTCAAAAGGTACAACTCTATGCACCTCAGTGGGGCAATGGCAAGACATGTGACAAACCACAGAAAGTATCCTATTTCTATAACAATAATCCTATATCAGACAGGGCAATTCAGTTATAGGGAAAAGAGGCTAAATAAATAAGAGTAAATCAGAAACCAGGGAGGTGATATCGGATTCAGAACTAGTAAGGAGTGCTTCACGGTGTTTCACAAGCAGTTTGGAACAGCTAAACACACTTGCTTTTGGAAGCAAAATGCATTCAAGTTCCTATAAAAGGAACAAATATTCGGTGCCCAAAAAAATAAAAATAAAACATGGATAATTCAATAGCAACTGGAAAGAAATAATTGCATACCTTGAGTGATGCCTTCTTTTGGGAGGAGGGGAATAATACTCTCGACCACGGGACGGAGATCTTGCATGGCGTGGAGGTGGAGAACGAGAATGGTGTGGTGACCGAGAATAACGAGGAGGTGATCTTCTTCTATCACGAAATCGACCCCTGTAGGAAAATGAAATCATTTGGAGGATTATCAAAAAAGAAAACTATGGAAGATTATTGCATATACTCAAATCATAAAATACAACCCCGAATTGGGACCAAGCGAGCTTTAAAACAAGTCCTGATCACACAATTTATAGATTAAAAAAATACATGTCTCATGAACATCCTTATATCATGTCATGGCATGATTGGCATGTGAAACAACTCCACCTTATAATCCACAAATTCTGAAACCAGAACAATCTAACAAAATAGCTAATCTTATCATTTTGAATTTGTTGAAGTTTGTTTTCCAATAGAAAAATTCAAATCACTGAGCCCTGAAACATATCATTCGAGATTCATGTTAACAATGCCTCCATGCTCTCAACTCAATTCAAAATGAAAAACATAGGAAGAAAGTGATGGACAAATAAAACACTGCCATTTCAGCAATCATCTTATACCGCAACTGAGTAGAGAAATAGTTGTTTGGAAAAATATCCATGCCAATCAAAATCAATCCCATCAGGCAAGCCAACAAAGAAAAGATGGTGTCTACCTTGTACGCTCCCTTGTTCTCATATCCATTGGCTTCTTCCTATTCTCCTCAGCAAATACAACAGTCAACTCCCGGCCAAGAAGAACTCGACCATCCATATGATGTTTTGCCTCGGCAGCATCATGAGGATCTGCATACTGGACAAAGCCAAAACCACGGGGTTCCCTGTCAAAAGAAGATGATAAAGAAACAAGTTGAAGATGAGTATCACCATCTGCTACAAAATCAGGGGCTGAGCACGGGAACCATAAGCCTTTTGCCAATGAAATGTACCAACATAATCCCCATTATATGAAGGTCATGATATGAAAAAGCAAGCACACTGCTGACCTTGCAAGTGTCAGTTTAAAGATGACTTGAAACTCTTCAAGACTTGGAATCTCTTCACAATGTATTCAAACCCAACTTCCTTCAAATCTTCACTATCATTAACATCATCTTCAAAAGAACTCTAATTACTTGATTGATGTCTTCAAAACTTTAATTTCACTGTTAAATCTCAAGAACTTCAATCAAGGAACCCAGCTTATGGTTACAGGAGTATATCATTAAGAGATGACCTAAAAGAAATTTGGATGAAGGGGGGGTTATAGGGCCTGCTTGGAGAAAACCAAACAGATTGCTGAGCATTGTGTGAATTTCACAAAAATTATAAGAATGATAACATCAAAAAGTTTCAAAAAATTGATAGTTCAAGCTAATAAGTTTCACGTTTCTGATGCAGTGCAGGAAGGAAATCAAACAATACAAAAAATAGGACAAGCTGAGTTACTTCTAAGGGAGAGGAAAAAGGAAGACAGAAAAACAGAAAGCTGTGGTAAGAACATAACATTATTTGTCCCATCTGTTTCACAAGGGGGATTAATTTTGAAAAAGAAACCAAACAAGACTATTGACTCCATTAACCCCAAGGAACATAAAGACACCAACATTAGAAAAGGCAAAACCCCAACGGAATTTTTTTAACAAAATAGTAAAAAAAATGAAATATCAGCAAACAACTTCATACATGAACAGCTAAAGTAATTGCTCACCCAGTATAATAATCTCTAGGCAAGTAAATGTCCTTGAGAGCACCAAACTGTTCAAAGGGTCTGCGAAGGTCTTCTGGCCTGCAAAAAGCATAAAAGTAATTGGCATGTATTTATGATAGAAACACGCATAAAGTTTATGGCCCCAAAATATTCAGCTATTAATAGGAAGGGGTGCATACTGCATAATGGCAAGTTTGGTTGTCGATAGGTTCCCACTCTCGGCAACATGAAAGTCACCAGTTGAATCGTTAACTTGTGTGAAGTTTCTCTCCGCAAGTAGACAAAATAACTGTCATCACTACTCCTGTCTCTTGTGCACATATAAAACTATCCTTAGGTGGCAACTAGTGTTATGGCCCACTGGCACAAAGCCCTGAGGCCACATAGATGCATTGTTCATTATGTCCTAATAAGCACCTAAAATCAGCAATGATTATTACACAAACTTAGCACTCTAACCTTCTAAGTGCCTAGCCAGTCTCGGTTGGAAAGAATAAAGGCAAGAAAACACAGATGTTGAAGCAGAAATTTTTATATTAGCCACTATTTGCAAAAAAAAAAAAAAAGCAAAGAAAGAAAATCTATAAAAAAAATGTTAAAGAGCAGAAGTTATGGGACAGCGAACCTGCAATCATGACGAAGGTTGCGAACTAGGAGGCTAGTAGGGAGATCCCTGCTACGACCACCATAACGTCCCCGAGGACTAGGACTCCGTCCCCTTCTACCATAGCCCCTTGGAGGCGATGGACTATAACTCCTTCCCCTCATTTACACAAAAATGTTTGCTCTCTCTGTGCAATTTAAACTTACCAGTCAAGGAAATAGTATCATAACGAAGAAAAAACCAACCAGGGTAAGAAACTATTAAATCATGCGCAATAAATTCAACAACCAGCTTCATATGATAAATAAATTTTATATAACTTAAGCAAACAACTTTCCACTAACACAGCACGTGAAGAGTTCAAGGCCTAAATTGATCTTAGCATGTCATACATCAATACAAAGACACTAAATGTCAAAGATTACACTTATGTTAAACAAACCCATGATCGCTTCCTTTCAATATATCTTGATTATCCTAGTCAATTTAACTCCACTATCAAACTAGGGCTATTCTTCATTGAAATCCCTAGTTGCTCATTGTTGTTATCTTTTTCTACTTTCATACAGCAAAGATTGACACTTTGGTTAACAATGGCGTTTACACATCATATAGTACAACAACAACTCACAACCTTAAAATATAAAAGAAACCCACTAACGATACCATTAACCTAGGCATGTAATTTAAGAAACAACCCTAATCCATCTTCCCCTTGCTAATAACACATCAAACCCATTATATTCTTCATGTCTTTCCAGCAAACCCTAGCATTTACAGATATGAAGCCATTGATTATTTCTTTTTTAACAAAAACCCATTAACCTAAATAGAGCATTAAACCCTATCAAGTTCCATGTAATTCATGAAAACAGAATTAATTAATTAACACTAATATTCGACCTCTGAAAGGGTAAAATAATCTGCAACTAAACAGAGATCGAAACAACAGCTAGAATCTATGACAGAAAAAAGAGAATAAGGAAAGAAAGAGAGAGAGACCTGTGAAATTGAGAATTAGGGTTTTATGGAGGAGAGAATTTGTGAGCTGACGGCGATGTGGTAGCGAGAACGGATGCGAGAAGAAAAGAATACGAGCGCGCAGAGAGGTTGTAGATATATTGCCACGCAACAAGGGTAAAGGTTAACTAGGGTTGAGTTAATATATTCTATGCCTTTGGACTTGTGGGTCCTCTTTGAGGTCTACTGATCTAGTGGCTAAGATTTTTTTGTAAATTGTATTTTGGTATGGGAAAAAATTCCAAACAAAATTATTAAAGATATTTGTGTTTTTTAATGATTCGAAGAATACATCATCTACATTAAAACGTTAATCCAATACTAATATTTAAAAAATTAAATAATAAAAAAAATATTTAATAACCCGACGGCCTTCATAAAGTTATTCCGACAATTAACATTGGTTAATCACGAGAAAAGCTTTTAAAGAAATATAAATGTTGGAATTATGGTTTTTTTTTAAATAAAAAAATAGCTAATTTCTAGTTCAAAAATATTTTTTTTTTAAATGTTGCAATTGGAAATTGCGGTTCTTCTAAAAACCAAATTACAGTGGTAATTGTTTGTTTTGTGTTTGATTTATTATATGGAACATCCAATGAATATGTTTGTAGAATAAATAAATAAAAAAATATAAAAAAAAATTATGGATATGAATGATCATCAGTGAAGTAAAACCATCCAACCCGGCCACCTTCATATGCTATTTGA